GTCCAACATCTAATTACTAATAATCTCATCTCGGTCTCCCAACATGGATTTCTTAGGTCCAGATCATGTGATACATGCCTAGTGGACTACATGAATGATATAACTCTGAAACGAGACAATAGACTCCTTGTATCAGTCATATTTTTAGACTTTAAGAAAGCTTTTGATAAGGTTCCACACAAAAGGCTACTAGCCAAATTACGGTCCTTCGGAATCAACAACCCACTCTATTCATGGTTTGTTTCATTCTTAAAGGGGCGTAAACAATTGGTAAAGTACAACGACTGTCTCTCATTACCTAGACCAATAACTAGTGGCGTCATCCAGGAAAGTGTATTAGGCCCACTTTTGTTTCTCATGCATATAAACGATATATGTAACATCATAAAATCTAGGAAACCATGCTTATATGCTGATGATCTCAAATTAGTATACAGCTATAAGCCCGAGGTTCTAAGTAAAAGTGTACCCCTGATTCAAGATGATCTCAATAACCTAACTATCTGGAGCGAAAAGTGGCAATTACCATTTAACCTTCACAAATGCGGGATCATGAACTTTGGAAAGCGCCCCTATAAACCCCAACTTTACTTAAATAAAAGTAAAGTCCAGACACTTAGTTCAGTACACGATCTGGGAATTAATTACACAGGAAGCCTAAACTTTAAAGCACACGCCTCCTTTATTATTTCTAAAGCTAGACGTCTAATTGGCTTCATAACGAAAAATTTCTTCACGAAAGATGCTAAGCTTACCCTTTACAAAATATGTGTACGACCTTCCCTAGAATACTGCTCTTTTATCTTCTCTAATATGAATACCACTGACAAAATAAGAGTAGAAGATGTTCAAAGACGCTTTACACGCCAACTGCTAGGAAGTGACACCACTCTTGATTACACAAGTAGATGTAAGCACCTCTCTTTAGAAACTTTATGGCACCGTAGGTGAAGGAACAATCTGATATTTCTCTACAAGGCAATAAATGGACTGTCATTTCTAACCTCCTGCCCAACTATGATCAACGACCCAGCCTATAGACTAAGAAACAATGCATATACACTATTTACCGAAAAACACCAAAAACAAATGCGTTGTAGGTTTTTTACAGTTCGGTATAGTTTATTGTGGAACAGGTTGCCAATACCTATCCGTAACTGTTACACCTTCACCAAATTTAAAAGGCTAATAACCCTGTTACTAAATTCTAAAGAACTTCAACTATTCCTTGAACTCCCGCCTACCAATGAGGCACTTTATTATGGACCGCCCAATATCTAGACGGAACAAGAATATAACGAACTCCATTGTCGTTAGTATGAATATAGCAAAACTAAAGAAAACATGTTTTATCTTTCCCCATTATTTATTGATTATTAACCATGGCCTTCCGCTCCTAACCCTCATTTTCAGTTTCCGAATCTCTCTAATGGATAAATTCAAATTATTCTTCCTAAGTGTCCTGTCCTTTTATTTTTTTTATTACAAGTAGACAGATAACTCACTAATCTAATGGATGCTGACCAACTAAAGAAGCTCAAATGTCCTAAATTCTTGTGAGTTGTTCAATGTTTTGTTTTCCTTACCTTGAAAATTTTACAATATTCTCTTTCATATCCTCTGGTTTGCTATTAGTCCTTACCATCTCATAACCACATATAATCTGACTTGTCTCTTCTAACCTTTACCATTAGCTATCTTCATAGTAGTACGATATATTAAATGGATATCTAACCCATAATACAAATGCTATTACCATCTGGTTCGCTTGTAACATGGAACCTGTAGAGACAGTGTATTACAACTATGGTCCTTGATTAAAGCAATATTCATACTGACCACAAACGTAAGAGAGCCTAACATCATAAAAGGAGGGAGGGTGGCGTTACTCACCAGCAAACATAATGGTGGGGAGATAACTTCAATCCATCCGTGTCTGTAGGGCAGAACGTATTAATTACGGCTCCTTATGTCTAGTGGGATGTCACGAACCAACGGTATTGATGCGAAATTATTCATGCAAAATACCACTTTAAATCATGTTAAAAAAACTGAATTGGTTCCACTTCCTACCAAGTAATCCTAATACAAGCAAACTAGATAATTGGCTAAAAACGAAGCCCACTCTATACCCTATAAAATCTAAAAACAAAAAAGAGAGTTCAAACAGCTTCTAAAGTAAAGGGAGACAGTCATTTGTATCGGAATACTGTTTTCAGCACTTTATTTTATAATTACACAATTCCATACTTCCTTCTGAGCTACCTTCATTTGTACAGTTCCTTATCCCGACCGTTGCTGCTACCTTGACGTGGTGGATGGGCTTGCCTACCGTGATGATTTAATCGAGCTATACTGCCTGGAACAATCGTTCCTCAAGGTCCTCCCATGCCAGACAGGTCGTAAATATTCATGTATATTAGAGTAAAGCCTGATGAATATCTAATTGAAAACAATTGTTCGCTAACATATGTTGTTCTAATTTTAAGATATTGTAGCATGATATTTCGGAAATTCGTTATCATTCACGTGTGACAAAATAATAATATATTTCTGCATTAGCAGGTACACGCCAGTTTTACAGGCATAATCTACAATTTACAACGTATACTGGTTCACAGTATGCATCTCAAGCAAGGTTGTTTAGTAATTATAATCTACAAAAGTTGATATCAGTTCACTCGTTCAGATATAATGTCTTTTCATTAGAATATATTTCCAAAGGGTCATCGCGTCCACGTTACATACTAGATCCAATCTCGACAAAAAGTGTATTAGGGTTTCGGTAGTGCTAAGTATTTATGTAATGCAGCTTTTTAAGTTTATAGTTGTTATAAAGTAGGCTTGTGGAGCGCCTGGTTCGAGCTATGACCTTGGGAAAGCGCGTTGGTCGAGCTTGTTCCAGATGTCCGAAGTTACATAGCTTCACCCTCAGAGAAAGACTCTGAAGAGAAAAAATAAAAGAGAAACCGAGGAGAAGCAAGGCATTTGGATATGAACGATAACTAATGCTTAACATTTATTAGTGGAACAGATGGAGGTATGACAAATTATTAGATTAAATTGATACTAGCTCATGTTGCAAAAGTGAAGTGTGATTAGGGGCTCCAGAGGAGAGAATGCAGTAATAAAAAACAATGAGTTGTGATATTTATCAAGGTGGAGTAGGTTCCAATGAAGGAGGGAAGTCAAGGTTGGAATGAGGAAGAACAGAGAGTGCATATAGAGAGTAGTGTTAAGTAAAATAGCAACCATATCCTTTACAGTCAATTTTTTCATCATCCGATGCCTGCCACACAGTTTTCATGTAAAAGTCCGAGTAAGCATGTTAAAGGTTGTCTTAGTAGAATAGTTAATCCAGCACAAAAATTAGAAACATGAGTCTGAATGGTGAGTGTAGGTGAACAATCTCAATATCACAGATCTATTGACTTGTTCCCATCCATAAAGAGCCTAATACAAACAAAATGTTCTGCCCCACAAACACGGGTGGATTGCAATCATCGCCCTCCCGATCAGTACTTACTGATTAGTAACTCCACCCTCCCTCCCATTGTGATGTTAGGCTCATTTACGCTTATTTTTTGGATACATATCATACCTCACACAATGATCTGTGTTTCACATCCTGTTGGAAAACACTATTTCTATAAGTACCATGTTACAAGCTTATCAGACAGTTACAAATTATGGACTGTGGGTAGGGCTATGTAGTAAAGTGTAGGTTACGAATCAGAGTATAGGGATTAGGAAGGGTATAGTGTAGGATATTTGTTTATCATAGTAAGCGGAAAAGTGGAGATTTATATTAGTTATAGATAAGGTAAGATAACGAGTGGTGAAATAATATTAATGGCGAGGCAACATAGTGTACAGATGAGTAAAAAGCTGATAAATAGACAAGAAGTAACTCACACTAAATTCGCGCTGAGTATTAGTATCGTAAAAAAGAAAAGCCACATATAAATCAAGATTTGTACACTGGATATCTGAGACAACGTTTTAGAGGAAACCTGTATGCAAAAAAATATTCTAAATGACTTTGATCTTTAGACACTTGCAGATACTACGTTGTTCAGCAAGATTAGTGTGTTCACTTGGGTACACATACCAGTATGTGCCGCCAACATGTAAACATTGGGAGTAGTCAAGTAAATCATGCTATATTGGAACCTACTCCACCTTGATAAATATCACAACTCATTGTTCTTTATTACTGCATTCTCCCTCTGGAGCCCCTAATCACACTTCACTTTTGCAACATGAGCTAGTATCAATTTAATCTAATAATTTGTCATACCTCCATCTGTTCCACTAATAAATGTTAAGCATTAGTTATCGTTCATATCCAAATGCCTTGCTTCTCCTCGGTTTCTCTTTTATTTTTTCTCTTCAGAGTCTTTCTCTGAGGGTGAAGCTATGTAACTTCGGACATCTGGAACAAGCTCGACCAACGCGCTTTCCCAAGGTCATAGCTCGAACCAGGCGCTCCACAAGCCTACTTTATAACAACTATAAACTTAAAAAGCTGCATTACATAAATACTTAGCACTACCGAAACCCTAATACACTTTTTGTCGAGATTGGATCTAGTATGTAACGTGGACGCGATGACCCTTTGGAAATATATTCTAATGAAAAGACATTATATCTGAACGAGTGAACTGATATCAACTTTTGTAGATTATAATTACCAAACAACCTTGCTTGAGATGCATACTGTGAACCAGTATACGTTGTAAATTGTAGATTATGCCTGTAAAACTGGCGTGTACCTGTAACAGCTCAGGTTGGTTGGTTAAGAGTTGAGTGTTCTGAAAAAGCAGGTCGAACCACCCTTCCGACCCACTTTGACATATGACACAGATGTTTCTCTTTTCGACCAAAAATTTACGCTAGAAAATCCCGTCGAATGTCCGGATGAGGGCTTACCAATATCTGCAATGGTTTCTGATGTTTTTGAGGGATTTACTTATGTTGACCCCCAAATCCATATTGACATGTCCCGTGATCCATGGGTATCTACTTGGCAAACCTGTTCACGCTCGCGTCGAAGGTCTGGAATTTCATCTAGCAGTTCTCCGGGCTTCGTTGGACATACAATTATGGCAAATCCAAATACTCTTATGCAAGGAACTGATGTTCTACATGTTGGAACCCCACACCCCGAGCAATTGCAGTCTATTTTGGGTTCATATCTTCCAAATACTATTCAAACTTCTATCCCGACTCAGTCACGGCCGTTTGTTTTTGCTGAAGATTTCGAGGATATGGACGTTGCCAGTACTAATTTAACCTGCAGCAACAACCCACTTGATAGTCATTCAACCGTCATTAACACTGTCAATATATCCACCAGCAATTCTGTGAGACTTACATGTGCTTTACCACTTGGTTCTCATCGCTTAGAAAATAGTCGAGTGATGGAAACTGGTATTTGCGATCCATATTCATCGCGCTCGACTGAACATGTTAATTGAATAATTCCAAAGCCACTTGACACACGTCTAGTAAGCCCGTCAAGTTCTGCTGCTGCACAGGTATCAGCACTTGCTGCAGCAGCGCTTGCTACTTCGTCCCGTTTGGTTGGTTCTTCTGTACACATACCTTCAATTGCGTCTCATAACTCTTCCAATCGACCTTTCGTGAATGAGCATATGATGTTTGATCCTCAAAATATCAGACTTATGAATTTAGGAAAATCACAACCACAAACCTCATTAGCTGCAGTAGAAAGTTTGCATATTCAGAGGAAATAGTTTCTGTTCGTTGAAAGAGAAATAATGAAGCTATTCAATTTTTCTATATTTCTCAGGTTTCATAATTTTATTTATGTATGAACTAAGTGGATTGGTATGTATTACGAACACCTAGTTTTATTTCATGAATGTTAGAATTTTGACGCAAATGTTGTCATTTTCCCTATTCTGATATGCGTATTTTGTATGCAACTGATATATTTTTTGTTGTGTGCTATTTTCATCCCAAACAAGCTCATCTGTGAGTTCCTTCATGTACAATATCTTACACGTACTATTCACAAGATTCTGATATTCTTACAACCAATATATTTCGTTAAGATAGTGTTTTTGATTTCTACCCAGGAATACTATATATATATATATATAGTATTATAACAGTTTTGTTAACAATGTATTTTTCCCCATTTCAATATCTGATCTTTTCTTGAAGCATCATTTTGAATCAAATCTCGATTAAAATGTCTTGGATAACAAACACGTAAATAGTATTCCCAAACGCAATGCTTTACATGAATGTACAATTTACGTATATTATCTGATAAATTCATTGTTGTTTTTACCCAGTGGATGTCTTCATCTAGCCAACCATAGTATATTCATATTTTTACTTTCTTATTTATGACACTCGGCGAATTGATTGATTTACTAACTATCAGATGTACCAAACTTTTTGTTTAGATATTTCTATATATCTTATTTCACTGAGAAACTTTGTCAAATCGTTGGCTAATTACCATTCATAACTTGAGTAATGTTTTGTATGTTAGTGTACATTTATATGAGTATTTTATGCGTTTTTCCTCTTTGTTGTTTTTCATTTTTGCAATTATTTAATTTATTCATTAGTCAAATCAACAAATAATCAGTTATTTTAGATTTTAAAATCATGTATTTATTCATATGTTGGTGATTATCTTTTTCTCTATCGACCAATTAAGCATTCCTACCTCGATTGTTATTTTCTCTTCTATGAGTTTTCTTGCTATGATAATTATCTGGGTTCATAAAAGCGTTTTACACATCTTTACGGAAATTGCTTTATTTATGAAGCACCATATGTGCCTCCTTTTGTAATTTTTGTTATCTTGTTAAATGTCCATTCCTTACCGAGTTAATGCTGTATGGTTTGACTGTACCGTTAGCCCACTGGCGTATTCTTTGTCATTGTTTCTGTAATTGAAGAGATATTTGACTTGCTACCTTTAACTTCACAGGGCTTCCTGGTATATTATGAAAATTGATTAATGCTTTACTATTTGTATTATTTTCTCTCTAGCCAATTTCTGCTATTGCAGAAATATATTATTATCATTATTATTATTGATAAAGTTAACTTTTGTTCAATTTGTATTTGAAACCCAATTTTAATCCTTATCGTCTAGCCGAACCTGCTAAAGTGTAGTTCGGTGTGTATTGTAAGCCGTAGAAATATGTAATATTCACTGGGCTTGGAATTTCTTTTTCATGATGAAATAATATGATGCCATCTAGTGATGATATTGAGTATAAGTTGTACATAAGATCAGAATTTCTATTACAAACATTGTTTAAAGTATTAGATACATACTTAGTTACTGACGCCTGTCATCCCACGTCGAGCAGCATAGGCTGCCCACCAGCAATCTCGATCAAACCCTGTCACGGGCAATGCTTTCCGCTTCTTTCCAGTTACCATTCATCCTTTTCATATCTGCTTCGATTTACCAGCATAATATGTTATTTGCCATTCCTCTTTCCCTATTCACTTCATGATTCCAAGCTAGTGCTTGCTTCGTGATGCAGTTTGGTGATTTCCGTAATGTGTGTCCTATCCACTTTCATCGTCTTTTTCTAATTTCCCTTTCATTATAAAGTTGGTTAATTCTCTCCCACAGTAGGTTGTTGTTGATGACATCCGACCATTGGACATTAAATATTCTGCGTAGACAATTGTCGATAACAACTTGTACTTTATTGATACACAGGTGAACGAATCTTAAACACATTCTATTTGCGTCACTAATCTTCTTGAACTACGTAGTATCTGCAAGTGTCTAAAGATCAAAGTCATTTAGAATATTTTTTTTGCATACAGGTTTCCTCTAAAACGTTGTCTCAGATATCCAGTATACAAATCTTGATTTATATGTGGCTTTTCTTTGTACGATACTAATATTTTGTCAAACGTGAATGATAACGAATTTCCGAAATATCATGCTACAATATCTTAAAATTAAAACAACATATATGTAAGCGAACAGTATTGTTTTCAATTAGATCGTCATCAGGCTTTACTCTGAATGAAAATGTTAGACCAATCAAGGATATTTGAGTCTATATTAATCATAATGAAATAGAATACGTTACCAAGCATAATAATAGTTAAAAGTACAAGTTGATAGTGGGAAGACGTATTCTCTTTCATTATGATTAATATTGACTCAAATAGCCTTGATTGGTCTAACATTTTCATATAAATATTCATGTATATTAGAGTAAAGCCTGATGACGATCTAATTGAAAACAATACTGTTCGCTTACATATGTTGTTCTAATTTTCACAATGGGAATCTTTAATATTTTAAAAGCTTTGTACCAATTTCATGGCGATCTGTCGAATGCAGTTTATTAAATCACTTATTTGATGGTTAGTGCTCATCATGTTGTTTTGTCGATGGTCTGTTTTCGTCAAATCGTTTGCTTCATCGGATCTATCATGTTCGTCATTTCGTACCTTATTTCATAGTATATATTTAATTGAGCGCTATCAGGAAGAGTAAATTAGTGTGTTTACAAATGTTCACCAACTCACAATCTTTTTTATTAATTGCGTGTTCAAACGTTCAACAAATTCAATATTTTTATTGTTCACAACATGGTGATTATTAGCAAAATATGAAATTACGTTGTTTATATGATGTCAGTGAATTGGTCATTCAAAAAATTATGCTAAGCTACTCCCTATAACAAGCACCTTTACAGGTATTCGATAATTAAGCTGGTTTCATTGATTCTTAAAAACGTATAGTTGTTGCTCATTTAATTATCCTGATATTATCTTCACACAGTCCATATGAGAAGGAAACATAATATGAATATCGTCTGATTCTGCTTTTATTTTTTTATATTTTATTTAAACACATAAATATTGGTACAAGGAAAAACCAGACAAATATGCACCATACAAATCTCATTTGATTTGTATGAGGGCTGTGATACTGCTCAGGCGCCCAGACCGAAGCAGGTGGTTTTCTTATAGAGCCACCACCCCCCCATGCTTCAGTATTATTGGACTGTTAGTGATAATGGAATCACTGATGTGTATTTTAAACTATTTGGAAATTGTGGAGCTCAAACTCGTCATAGGATTATACGATAAAATACAAAGTGAAGAAAGTCATATTTTATTCTACAAACAACTATCTCAACGTGTATTTCGATTATTATACATTTTTAAATCTCAGAAATGGACGTGTGTCTGTATTTTCATAATCAGTTGCTCGTTGTTGTCTTTGAGTTCTGAACTTTTTATCATTTCTTTATGTGACCTTATTAATTATTCACTGAACAACTCTTATTTCATTTCGTTATTCATAAACGACGATTAAGTCATATATCACATACGAGAATAGACAGGATGTATATTTTGATAAGCAATCACTCATGTGATCTAAATGGAGTCAGATTAAAGCCTTCACAACGATGTGATATGAAACCAGTTAACAAAAACCTTATGTGTGTAAGTAGATGACATTAAGTATGAATCTACATTAGAAAGCCGATGGTATGACTTTGGATTATGGAATGTTAGTGTAAAGAAAACTCTGAAATTGGTCAATAGTACATTGAAAACAGTACTGTGAATAATGCTTTTGTCATTCAATCAGTTGTTCATTGTGCCAATATGAAGAGAATTTAAGAAGGTTTAAACAAATGCTTTTCATCTCCCAAAGTTTATTTACTTATACTTTTCTACTGTTTTGCAAGAGAATGAATAAAGTCTTCTTGATGAATAGAACTTCTGAGAATTCTTGTAAGTATCAGTTTAGTCAAAGTGACATAACCCTTATATTGGAATTATTCAATCAAATTTCATGATTTCTAATGAGTCGCTTCCGAAAATCCAAAACTAAGTGAAGTTATGGAGTGTAGCCAAACTCCTTGTCTATTTTATTTAATAACAGTAATGATGGACATTTTCTATTCACTCTTACCATACAGAAAATCTTTGACGAAATGGTCCAATATGAACAAAAGTGATAATGTTCAGGGAAGTGTATAAGATACTCCAAATATGTTGGATTCTCTGCCAGTGCAAACTTCATATCTGGGCAAACTAGTTCTGTGATTGCTTTAGGAAAACTTGCTATTTCTTCTGATTCATTATACCATTGAATGGGGATTCTACTCAACGTATATTGTTCGTGAGAATATCCAAAATCCGATACAATAACATCAAAAATGTGACTAGAATTCGACTCATTAAGAACATATTTGTCGTACTAACTGGGGATATCACTGGATATAAATCCATTGTGAAGACAAATGACATTTGAAATGACATCGGAATATGATTTTTCCGAAATATTTCTCTCAAATTTATTAAGAGTTTCATCAGGGAATAATTGATCATTAGAAAAATCAGCATCTAACAAAACTGAATCCGGTTTTTGATCATAATTTGACTCATTGAACATATTATTCTCAGGGTTGTAAAAGATTTCTTCAGAAATTTGTGA